CTATAAAATGCTAGTTTAGTAAGTCGATGGAATCTTGCTTGTTGTGGTCTTCTATCAGTTAATGTAAGTGTGCAACCTTCAAAGAGAAGTGTTTTTACATTTGATAAAGCTTCCACAATATCACCAGCGGTAACAAATTTAAAATCAATGCTATAAAACTTGATCCAATTTAAAGAATCAATTTGTCCAATTGATGGAATTATTGAAGCTATTTTATTATTACTCGTTGGATTTCGAAATTCTACATGAAGTGATAGTCGTCTAACTTTTCGTTGTGAAGATAGAAATCTGCGCAAAGAATCTATTCTTTGATCAGTATCATCCTCCATTAAAGAATCTGTTGAAAAAGGAATTGAAAACATATCTATAGATCGTATACTATTACAACAATTTAAAATATCTGGAAGAATATCTCTGTCTAGATTGCGAGCAGTAAACTTAAATTCTTCTAATTGCGAAAGAGCCTTTTCGGCAGATGGTAATTTAATTATCGAAAGATAATCATTTGGGATTGTTGGATACATTGTTCTTGATAAATCTAAGCTTTTTAACCTCTCACAACGCGAAAGAAATGCTTTACAAAGTCCTTTTGCAAGTTCAAAAGTTTGCTGTTCTACCATATCAATATCATTATTAAGCATAAGATGATCATTTTCATAATTTTCATTCGATTTTGACTCCAACCAACTCTGTGAGGAATGATAAATTAATTCAAAATTTAAATCTTTAAGGAAACTCATATAGTCGAATAGTGTTTTCGAAGGCATAACGGATATATTGATTCCAGCAATAACAAGGTCTTTGCGTTCTGCTTTGGATAAGCCATCAAGGTATACTTGAATAAGTTTACTGGAAGTTTTTCTCAAAAGGTGGAAAGGTCTGCTCCAAAGAACTTCTACCATGTTAAGACACCAAGAACGGCTGACCAAAAGACAGGGAAATAAAAGGTGTGATATATTTTCATTGCCATGATCATTTTGGATCATGTGTTCAAAAATTTCATGAAGCGTTTCGGCTGGAAGTTTTTCAACCATTATCCTTGTAGATGTAAATCTAAATCTCCATCATACACATTCATCAACATTAAATTAGTTTAACCGTTACACGAAAATTTTTCATATGTAGTATGACGTATATATGTGAAAATTATTTTCGTGCACCCAAATAGTACCCTAGCCATGGCGAAAAAAGTGGTCATTGTTAGCGTTAGATTCTATTCAAACCATCGTGTTCTGATAGTGTTCTGATTGGACAAAATTGACGATCTATAACAACATATTACATACGTACGTACGTACGTACGTACTTTTTTCAAACTTTGAGCGATGATATCTCGATAACTACCTACTTATCTAAAATTGATGATTTTTTTATTTTAATTCTGCGAATTCAGAATTAAAATGAAAATATTTTTTATCAATTTTAGGTCGATCATTGCTCAAAGTTTAACAAAAATTCGGACGATGATCAAAAGGCTGTGGCTACCGTAAAACGCCGTATAAGGTACCCGGGTATCTTACAATTCACATGATAAAAATTTGATTTGTACCCCCCGGG